TGCTTCTGGCTGGGTCCCAGGGCGTGCAGTAATGTTATTTGCACCATCACTTCTCATGACATGCCAGGGAAGGGTCTGGGGGAACAGTGACAAAGTGATTCTCTCTCCTTATCTCCTCTCTAAGTGGATGGATGGATGGAGAGAGAGAGAGAGAGAGAGAGAGAGAGAGAGAGAGACAGACAAACAGAGAGACAGGTAGAGAGAGAGATAGACAGACAGATGATAGATAGATAGATAGATAGATAGATAGATAGATAATAGATGGATAGATAGATAGATAGATAGATAGATAGATAGATAGATAGATAGATAGGTGATAAATAGATAGATGATAGATAGATAGATAGATAGATAGATAGATAGATAGATAGATAGGTGATAGATAGATAGATAGATAGATAGATAGATAATAGATAGATAGATAGATAGATGTACAGATTAGATAGATAAAATAGATAGATTAAATAGATTATATAGACACGATAAATAGATAATAGATATATAGATAGATTAGATAGATTACATAGATATGATAGATAGATAGATAGATAGATATGTTAAATAGATAGATAGATAGATAGATAGATAGATAGATAGATAGATAGATAGATAGATAGATAGATGAACTAACCAATATAACATGAAATGTATGTTCTGTTTTATAGCATAAACAAAAAAATGTCCAGCACTCCTTATTGTGACAAAATTAAATCCCTATTTTGGCAATACAGCAACATTTCGACTGCGTGTCTTCATCAAGCAATGTTCTGTTTTATGCTACTATTCCATTTAACTTGTGTCAATTGGCTGAGCCCTGGTACTGTTATACTGGTACTGGTACTGTTATACTGGTACTGGTATCGGGTAATCAATTGTAATGAAGAATTTTCATCAGCTTCTTAAAATTGAACACATTTAGTGAATATGACTACTTTTTTATTGAATAAAATAAGCACATAGTGCTCTCCAGCAGGTAGTATATATTGGCAGCTGTTTGTTAAAACTCAGCATCGTGTTGAGTCACTGTATAACAGCACATTAACTTGGGTGTGTGTCCCGTGACTTGCTATTCACGCCTACACTGCATCTGCATATTAAATAAAAAGCCGTGCTGATTGTAAGAGCAGGAAACTGTTGCAGTTACAGAAATTTCAGTTACACTTTCAAACGTGTTTTCATGAGTAAGTTTTCGTAAAGCATCGAATGAGTGACAGCATTCAAGTAATACAAGTTTCGCAACATTTTGTTTCCTCTGTATCTTGGATAAGTTTGTGATTGTGTCATTTAAATTGCATTTATAGCGCAGTTGGGGGGGGTAAGATGCACACATAAATGGTTCAGATCTGCAGTGTGTTCCTCAACAAATGAAAAAAAAACTAATGTTGATCCCCCCCCCCAAAGAATACATAGAAAAATTAGGTTCCCCTAGGGGATTATCAGACAGGGTTCAACAAAAGGCTAACACTTCCTCCACCCCCTGTACAGTAGGGTGAGGTGCAATAAAATAAGGTGGTGGGGTTGGGGGTTATCTACCACTTCTTAAAAGCCATAGCCTGTGGAGTAGAAGATAAGAAATAATGATGAATACAAATACAAAAATATAAGTCCTGCGCTCACTCCCATCACTCCTGGGCGGCAGCAACGACCACAGTACACATCAGCTCAAATGCATACAGTAAAAACAAAATAAAAAGTTACCTGCGCTCTCTCCTATATACTTATTAACCCCTAATAGGGAACACATGGGATGGGCAGCATTGGCCATTGGAGTAACTTAAAGATCTCCATTTGTTTAAATATACATAAGGATTTAGGAGAGAGCGCAGGTATATAAAAAATACCCCTCTCTGTCCCATTAGAGATATCTTTGCCAGAAGCTCAAGGAAGCAAAGTGAAAGGTCAGTGTAGGACACGCCTACGGGGGTCTGCCTTGACGTTGGCAGGCATGCATTCCTTCCAATGGCCATTGGAGTAACTAAATGACCTCCATTTTGTTTAAATATACATAGGGATTTAGGAGAGAGTGCATGTAACTTTTTCTTTTGTTTTTAAGAAATAATGATAGACTAGTATAGCTGCAAGCCTCCTAGCCCAATAAAGGACCAGGATGTCTGTCCCCTGGTTGTAATAAGAGTAGGGCCAGATGGTCCTCACTCCTTCTGGACAAAATAAAATAGCTCCCACTTTTGGCTTTCAGTTCCCTCCAGTCCTACTGATACTCAGCTTTTCCGAGGCTAAAGAGATAGTTTTGCTTCAAGACTGCATATTAAACAGGAGCAAAACTTGCTTCCTTTAATATCATGGGTAGTGGCGTAAGAAAAAAAATATTCTAAGTCTGCTAACCTGCCCTTTCCCCATGCTGTATTATGAAGGGAAAGAAATTAATTTGCAGTGAATGTCATATCAACCATGATCAATGGACCACTATAAAACCTTGCCAAGCTGTGTTAGGTAAGAGGATAACAACTTATTAGCGAGGGTAACTGTCTTCTATGTCCTTTCCTTGTACTCAAATAAATATTTACCTTATGCAGGTAACCACTATGTCCTTCTTTGACTGTATTGCCATATGTATCATAAATGCTGTGACTGATGACTTCTTAAGGAAATGTATGTATTAAGGAATATTGATATATTGTCTTTTTATTTTTTTTTATTTTTTGATACCCATACTGTGTATTTCCACTGTATTTTCTTATATAATAACTAATGTTTTTTGTTTTTTTTTAAAATCATGTAAAGTAGAGATAAAAACTTTTGAAGTGTATTGTAGAGAAAAAATGATGTTACTTCTGTTTCATGGTTTATAATATCTCTACCTTCTCAATGCCTTTGTAAATTTGGATCTAAACCCATGACTACATTCTATCAGTGAAGACCATGTAGTCCAGTCACTCAGGGTCTTTTTCAAACAGCAGTTTTATTGGAGAAACACGACAAACACAGCAACGTTTCGATCCACACTCAGATCTTTGTCAAGCTTGACAAAGATCTGAGTGTGGGTCGAAACATTGCTTGAAAAAGACCATGAATGCCTGGGTTACATTATCTTCACTATATGGTATGGGGGTTTGCCAGCCCTAGGTACAGTGCACCGAGGTTTACAAGTGATGAGATGCAGATCCAGGGCCGGACTGGGAAAAAAATTAGGCCCGGGCATTTTTCAATCAGAGCGACCCCCTAAGAAGGGGGCGGGGCCAGAGAGTGTGTGTTTTGTCATCACTAATGACAACACGCCCCCTCTCAAAGTGAGCATGTTGGTTCAATGCCCAGAGCCCTGCTGAAGAGCTCTGGCATTAGAAAAAGGCCCTGAATTTGTTCTGCGCAGCGCAAGCAAATTTAATAACATGCTTGCGCTGTGTTTGCTTTTACATTGTCTCTGGTGTCTCCACAAGTGGGATACCAGAGGACAAAAGGGCTAGGAAAGTGCATGGTGCATATGTTTGGAGCCTGCTTGTGGGATTGCGTGTGTGTAGAGTGTGGTGTGGTATTGTATAAATAGGTCAATTTAATTTGTGTTTGTGGTGTAATATGTGTGGCTAGGGGCTGTAGAGAGTGTGTGTATAGGGGGCATAGTTTTATAGGGGATGCAGCGAGTGTGTGCATACGGGCTGAAGTGTGTGTGTATAGGTGACGTAGTGTGTGTAGGGGTTGCAGAGAGGGTGTGTTTAGAGAATGTTGTATGTGTTTGCTGACAAGGAATGTAGTGTGTGTGTGTGTAGGAGATCTACTGTGTAAAGGACCCAGTGTGTGTGTGTGTAGAGGATTAAGAGTGCATATAGGGTAAGGGATCTAGTGTGTATCTGGAGCGTAATGTGTGTAGTGGTGTAGTGTGAGGGGTGCGTATGTATATATATATATATATATATATATTTGGACTTATTGTATGTGTGAGGGGCGCAGTGTGTGTAGGTAAGAGGGGTGCTGTGTGTGAGGGTGTTTTTATCTGCTGTCACATTCTAGGTTTCTAATTTTCTTTGTCTGTTAACTCACTGAGGGTTGTTTTATATATATATGTGTGTGCTGTATATGTGTGGGAGTGTGCTGTGTGTGTGAGTGAGGGTGTTGTGTGTGTCTGGGTGCTGTGTGTGTCTGCGGGGTGCTGTGTCTGGGGGGTTCTGTGTGTGTCTGGGTGCACTGTGTGTGTCTGGGGGTGCTGTGTGTGTCTGGGTGCTCTGTGTGTGTCTGGGTGCTCTGTGTGTCTGGGTGCTGTGTGTGTCTGGGTGCGTGTGTGTGTCTGGGTGTGCTGTGTGTCAGAGTGTTTATATAATATGTGTCTGTGCTGTGTATATCTGTGTGGGAGTGTGCTGTGTGTGTGAGTGAGGGTGTTGTGTGTGTCTGTGTGTGCTAGGTGTGTGTCTGCGGGGTGCTGTGTCTGGGGGGTTCTGTGTGTGTCTGGTGTGCACTGTGTGTGTCTGGGGGTGCTGTGTGTGTCTGGGTGCTCTGTGTGTGTCTGGGTGCGTCTGTGTGTATATATATATATATATATATATATTTGGACTTATTGTATGTGTGAGGGGCGCAGTGTGTGTAGGTAAGAGGGGTGCTGTGTGTGAGGGTGTTTTTATCTGCTGTCACATTCTAGGTTTCTAATTTTCTTTGTCTGTTAACTCACTGAGGGTTGTTTTATATATATATGTGTGTGCTGTATATGTGTGGGAGTGTGCTGTGTGTGTGAGTGAGGGTGTTGTGTGTGTCTGGGTGCTGTGTGTGTCTGCGGGGTGCTGTGTCTGGGGGGTTCTGTGTGTGTCTGGGTGCACTGTGTGTGTCTGGGGGTGCTGTGTGTGTCTGGGTGCTCTGTGTGTGTCTGGGTGCTCTGTGTGTCTGGGTGCTGTGTGTGTCTGGGTGCGCTGTGTGTGTCTGAGTGCTGTGTGTGTCTGAGGGTGCTGTGTGTGTCTGGGTGCTGTGTGTGTCTGGGTGCTTTGTGTGTGTCTGGATGTGTTGTGTGTGTCTGGATGCGTTGTGTGTGTCTGGGTGCGCTGTGTGTCTGGGTGCGCTGTGTGTCTGGGTGCGCTGTGTGTGTCTGGGTGCTGTGTGTGTCTGGGTGCGCTGTGTGTGTCTGGGTGCTCTGTGTGTGTCTGGGTGCGCTGTGTGTGTTTGGATCCTGTGTGTGTCTGGGTGCGCTGTGTGTCTGGGGGCGCTGTGTGTGTCTGGGGGCGCCGTGTGTGTCTGGGTGCGCTGTGTGTGTCTGGATGCTGTGTGTGTCTGGATGCTGTGTGTGTCTGGTTCTGTCTGTGTCTGGGTTCTGTGTGTGTCTGGGTGCGCTGTGTGTGTCTGGGTGCGCTGTGTGTGTCTGGGTGCAGTGTGTGTCTGGGTGCGCTGTGTGTGTCTGGGTGCTGTGTGTGTCTGGGTGCGCTGTGTGTCTGGGTGTTCTGTGTGTCTGGGTGCGCTCTGTGTGTCTGTCTGGGTGTCCTGTGTGTCTGGGGGTGTGTGTGTCTGGGTGCGCTGTGTGTGTCTGGGTGCGCTGTGTGTGTCTGGTTGCGCTTTGTGTGTCTGGGTGCGCTTTGTGTGCAGTGTGTGTCTGGGTGCTGTGTGTGTCTGGGGGTGCTGTGTGTGTCTGGGGTGCTGTGTGTGTCTGGGGTGCAGTGTGTGTCTGGGTGCGCTTTGTGTGTCTGGGTGCGCTGTGTGTGTCTGGGTGCGCTGTGTGTGTCTGGGTGTGCTGTGTGTGTCTGGGGGTGCTGTGTGTGTCTGGGTCCAGTGGTGAGAGTGAACTCTAACCTTCAGGCTAGAGTTCACTCTCGCGAGATCTGAGCGTTGCCGTGGTAACGGTAACCGCGGCAACGCTCAGAATTCCGCGAGAGGACCCGGCGGAGTTGCTTGTTAGAGCTCTGCCGGGTCCTCTCCTCCTTCCCTCCCTCCCCAGCCGGCGGCCGCCCAGGGTGGCAGTATTACCCTCCCCCAGGGTGGCAG